AGACTCGAAGATCGCGGGATTTCCGATGGAAGTGAAAAGGCTGGATGTCTGTTTGCTTAGATTTGGGTGCACGTTAGAGAGCGCCAGGTGGTCGTAATTCCCAGGGGCCTCTACTGTGGCACCCCTCATAATCATGTTGTGGCTTTGGGAAGTGAAACTCCAACAGTTATTATTATTATTATTATTATTATTATTATTATTATTATTATTATTATTATTATTATTGTTGTTGTTGTTGCAAGTACATGTGTCGCGACGTAAAATTAACGAGAAAGTGCTCCAGCGTAACACAATAATTAAAACGTTAGCTTTTTACAGGGTTAGCCAGGCTGTAACCAGAAAGATTTTTCGTGGTGGAAAGGGAGAGCGGGAGAGTGGCATTTTGCATGTCTATGCGTGTTTCTTGTTCATATATGCGTGAGGCCTTGCATGTACATACAATACATCTGGATTTCAGAAAGGGTGGTGAACGCCGCTAAACCACCCCTCTGGCCTGTGGGAACATCTGAGTGCTAAACCAGACATTCTCAAGGACGAGGTACGCGAAATGTTTCGATGAAAGTGCGGTTTCGCGCTCGAATGTTGCCAAAAGTCACCTGCCATCTCGCCGAATGTCATGTTTTTTTTAAGCTTCTAGGGTTCTGACTATCCACCCCAAGAAACGCCGTCAGAGACTGCTGGAGTACTAAAATAACATTTATCAGTTTAAACATACATAAACGGTTATGAAAAATAAGAGCAATACTTCAAGCCTCTAAGCTTAGCCACGGCGGAGAGCACACGTTGCGCACGAACACTCTCCGCGGAAGTCTGTCGGCCACTTTTTCATGGCAGCCTATGATACGTTCTTATAGGTTCTTACTGACAACTGGAAAGTGCGCACTAACGTTGCATAATGCCCCGTGTCGTGTTCAGTGGGGGCGAGTGGTTTTATCCAGGGTGATTACCACAAACCTCTGAATGCCCGTTCCTCTGATTTCACGGGGCCATGAAACGACACTTCAATACTAGCAAAAAAATGCTTGCGAGGCAGCTACATAGAATATATGATCGGCAATCTGTTAATTTTTATTTTTTATGAGATTAGTAATAGTAATTTTTGGGGGCTTTACGTCCAAAAGCCATGACATGATTATGAAACGCGTACTAAGCGAATTAGCGAATTGTATACGCTTTGCTAATGTGCTAAGTACGCGTTATGTACAAAACAGAAACGTAAGGCGCAAGGCTCGCCTTTGTACAGCGAAAATTTGCGTTAAGGTTCGTATTCTACAATAGGGTACGATTTGTGGGGTTTAACGTTCCAAAACCACCATATGTATATGAGAGACGCCGTAGTGGAGGGCTCCGGAAATTTCGACCACCTGGGGTTCTTTAACGTGCACCCAAATCTGAGTACACGGTACAATAGGGTACGACACTTATGTTAACGTGGGTTTCATTAACTACCCTTTGAACCCTATTGCGGTTAATTGGTTGCACTTCAAGTTGTTTAATTTTAGTAGAGTAGTACTGTCAAAGTATGGGACATTTTTTCCTCGAGGTTGAACGCAAGCGCGCCTGCTGCGCCAATGCGCGCGAACTCCAGGCTGACGTCATGAGCACGACAGTCACTGATCCCTCCTTCGAAGAAAAATACCGAGAGCGCAAGCACGAGTATTTTTTTATTCGCATAGTCGAATGGCTGTCGTGCATCGGTCATCTGGGCGAGGCTTGTCCGGATTTCTTAATGTGTGTACGACTGTAGCTTTGAACGAATTTGCGATTACTTACTCGGTGTACAAGAGTCCCTCTTTAACGGCCGTGGCCAAGTGCTGAGCCATCCGGGACATCTGGTACGTGGTATTGTAGGCGGCGCACGACATTTGTGTTTTGAGGCTGAGTGAAACAGAGAAGCGAAAAAAGCTAATTAAAATGGTCTACTCATGTCACTATTAACCTGTTCGCTCGCTGATGTGAAGAATGCTGATCCGAGTGTTAGGTTTCAGGCAGGAGTGCGGCGACAGTATCCAACAGTGAAAGCACGCACGCTCACACGCACACACACGCACGCACAAATAAAACTAACAAAGTTTGCACTAAGCCGCGCAAAGTTTGAAACAGCCAAGCTTTACTACTCTGAATACTAATCTGGTTGATTCTATAATAGCTTGTTTCTAGCCCTTAACCAGGTAACACTATACATTGTTTCTTCATTGATTCTCGGTGCGGAGATGTTCGAGTTAAACCACGGGCACTCACACACACGACGCAGATGTCCAAACTCCAGGAACACAAATTCGCGCTGGAACCAAGCGTTCGCACCTCATATATCTACGGGCACGTCTTCGTTTGGCGAAGGGCTTCTATCATTTCGGAATCTTCTTCTGCCAGCCGCCTTTTCCTTCCCCGTTCCCTAGCAATCTCCCATTGTGAGTACTGGGGCCTTCGGATCAGTGTCATCGCTTCACGGTCATTTTTTGGGCTAAATGTTCCTTTTGTAATGAAGAAGTTTTAAAATTTTTAGTGTGCCAGTGGTGAGGAGTGGGAGTGACGCAACCTCCGTGAAACATAGCAGTTTGATTATAGTTTCATAGTAGGGCTCACAGCGCATAGCCGACAGCGCGCACCAAAATTGCATCTAGCTTAAACAGCTTCGCTATTGAAAGTTTTACGACCCATATTAACTACGCGGGATGTGAGATGGATGGGTTTGATGAACTTGTCTTAGATGAAAGGGAAAGTCGTCTTAATATTCTTCCACACCGAATGCATGAATTCCTTCTCCCGATTGCTTTTTACACCTCAAGTGGTTTTACGATGCCTCCGGAATCGTCCCAGCTTTGACCAAGAGGTGATGTGTTGTGATGGCATCATTACGTGAAGTCACAAAGTTTTACGATATGTGGCGTCTTATTAACATATTGTGACGCATTTTTTTTTCACATTGTCATACTTCGCATCAATTCCGTCAACGTCGCCGATGATGAAGTTTTTGCCGTGGAGGAGGCCTCAAAACATCTGGGTTTAATAACAAAAGTTGCAGATGAGCAGTTTCTGGAAGGGAAACAAATTGAATGTCATCTGCAAGGCGCAAAACTCTTCTGGCTAGATAGGGGCGGGGGGGGGGGAGGCTCTACAAATGTAAAATACCACCGTTAATTAGTAATGAGTTCCCTAAGTACGCGATGAAGTAAACCGGTCAGTTTGATGACGTTGATTTCATGACTAGAATAAGGAAGAAGCTGTCGCACAATCGAAGACATTGGCTGGCTGCTTTCACATGATTCCAATTTGTTAAAATAGGTATGACCGAAAGTGTTACTGTGAGACACATACTTCGCTGGTTCTCTGTGGCAATGTTACGCGGAATCCGTGAAACAACGAAAGCGAGCAGATCCGAGCAAGTGACACGAGGGACCTACACAACTCCGCTATAAATGTTAGCCAGAGGATGTAGAAACCTCTGGAGCGCTCTTGAACGTATGGGCATGTGCGATGACGTCAAACTTACCTCTTCTCACGTATGCTCGACGTGGCGATCTCAGAGCGAGCCAGACTAGCGCGCAGTTCCTCGGGTAGCCGCTCGAGGTCGCCGCAAGCGCAGGACTGCATTCCCATGGCGCGGAACGCGTCTCTGATTGAGAAAGGAGATAGCGTGATTACCGGGCTCAGACAAGAGAACTTAACCACACCAGAATATTGCTGTCAGATGGCGTTCAGATCATGTAAGTAAGAATAATGCTTAAAAAGGTAATAATTATATTTTTCGTCTCAGCGTAATGATCTGATAATGAGGAGCACTGTTATTTAAGCCTCCGCGTGTTTTACCATTTGGGTTCTTTCAACGTGTAGCTATATCCATAGGTCCGTGTACGGGCAAGGCGGAAGGGGGTGGGGCACCTTTGCCAGTGCTCTAAGAGGGGGGGGGGGGTGCGAAGCCTGCCTCCATACATCGGATTAATAGGGAGGGGGGAGCGTAGGTGCCCTTTGAATAGAGCTAATAGAGAGATGCGCGCTGTGACGAACCTTCGCCCCCACTTTCATCAAGGGGAGCCCTGCGACGCCTATGCCTATATCTAAATGCATGATCCTCTAGCATTTCATCATCTTTATCATCATCTTTATTATTATCATCATTCACTACATGACTACTCCTACACATGGCAAATGCCTCGCCCATGTTCTGCCAGTCAACCCGGTCCTGTGCTTTCTGCATGCTTCCACGTTATACCTGTAAACTTATTATTCTTATCTGCCTACGAAGTTTTCTTTGTCCCCTCACGCACTTGTCTTTTTTATAAATTCAGTAGGTTATCCTTATTGATCATCGGTTATTCTACCTACGCGCTACTTGTTCAGCCCATGTTCATTACTTCTTGATTTCAACTATGATGTCCTTAACACCCGTTGGTTCCGTGACCTATTCTGCTCTCTTCCTGCCTCTTAGGGTTACACCTAAAATTTTACAATTCATCGCTCGCTGCGTCGTCTTCGATTTAAGTGAAACCCTGTTTCTAAGCGTAAAGGTCTCTGCTACCTAGGTAAGTACTGGTAAGATGCAGCTGTTATATACGTTCCTCTTTAGGGTTAGTGGTATACCATTTGTGGTGCGAGAATGCTTGCCGAATGTGCTCAACCCCGTCCTCATTCTTCAAGTTCTTTCGCCACGAAAGTGAAATAACCACAGCATTTCACCTCCGTCGAGATGCGGCCGTCGTGGCTTACGATTCGATCCCACAGTTTTCTGGCCGGATATTGAACACTGTCACCACTAGACCACCACGCTTGGTGAACGCATATGGAACACATTAGGACTAAACCCATAGTTTTATAGCTAACAAATAAGGCTTTATGAGCTGCTATGCTTCAGGGCGTCAGTTCAATTCCCTATCGAGCCCCGCCACGGTGGTCTAGTGGCCAAGGTACTCGGCTGCTGACCCGCAGGTCGCGGGATCAAATCCCGGCTGTGGCGGCTGTATTTTCGATGGAGGCGGAAATGTTGTAGGCCCGTGTACTCAGATTTGAGTGCACGTTAAGGAACCCGAGGTGGTCGAAATTTACGGAGTCCTCCACTAAGGCGTCTCTCATAATCATATAGTGGTTTTGGGACGTTAAACCCCACAGTAAACATAAAGCGATGTTATGGCTGGCCATTTCCAAATCAATCAATCAATTCCCCATCAAAGCTTATCCGCACTTCGATGCAGGCAAAATACGAGGACATTTATGTGCTCAATTATGTGCAAGCGAAGGAAACGCCTTGTCGTTAACACAATCACCCGGTGTCTCCCACAGCTTGTTGCTTCATACTCGTGCGTGGTGTTGCACGCAAGAGAGCAGAATATTTACACTTTGCCTCATTAGAAAAGAACGCCAGCTGGGCACACATTGCACTCAAATGCAGCTCGGAAGGCGCGCGAAGGTAGATCCGCCGGCTACCTACAACATTCTTAACCTTAACCATAAGGCGCGCAAAAAAAAAAACGGGAAGTACAGTGCATGTGCAGGCCAGTTGGCACGCTCTTCAAACTGTTATCACGAACTTTAGAAACGGCGGACAAAAGAATACGACACACAAGTTTTGTGTGTCACACCCTCTTTTCCGCCGTCCCTGATGGTCGCGCTATGACAGTTTCACTGGAAATGTATGCAGAGATATTCTCGAAGTACGCTACATAAGCTGCACTTATTTCGACAAAACTGAGGCGTTTTTGCAGTATCGTTATCATTGTCAGTTAGGGATTGCTCCAAATAACCAACAAAATCTAACGAGGGCAGCAATTTGTATATGTTCTAAGTGAAAATGAAGTGTTTATTTGAGCTATTTACTGATAGAAAGGGCGGAAGTGGATCTGCAATGATGTTAGTTTTCTCGGGGTCTCTTCGTATTTTTAATAGTATCTTGCAGAAAAGCTCTTACATTCACGTTTCATACATGACCAGGCCTGCCGCAGGTATTCAAACAAGCTGCTTTCTCTCACAGACGCCTAATTATTGCATCATCGTGGCAGGTTGTCCTTAAAATTTCGCAGTACTCTATTTTCGAAGAAGAACAAGCAAAAAGCGATGAATTCTGCAATGTCCCGGCCAACATGAGTGGGACGTCCCGTTTCTTTCTACCTTTCTACGCTGTCGACTTTTCTATAGACAAACGCTTTACTAACAAATCATACGGGAGCACAATGTCGCATACAAAGTATGTACAGCGCTCAATAGCAAGCGCCAGCGAATCGACATTTTCATTGAGTCCCCACTCACACATTGTCCACGATGTCGACGTGTATCTGATTAGCCTGATTCAGCGCGGAGGTCATGTCAAACGAGTTCCGGCTGAAGTTCCGCACGCTGAACATGAAGACGCTCAGCACTTCCACCCCGGCCCGGAACCACCACTCGCGCACCTGCAGAAAAGAGAAACGAATTGAATTTACTAACAAAGATAGATACCATGCACTGAGAGTAATGAGAACTCCAGTGCTGTGCACGTGATTGTTGCTTTAAAAGTATTAGTACCTTGCAGGATCATTGATCGTTCGATTGCTTTCTTTATGTTGTGGGGAATAGTCGAGCTCGTACCTGTGCAGGCCTTGGACCAATTGTGCATTGTACATTTGTTCTGTCGAACATTTGTTGTGTTGTTCTCTCCCAACTGAATTTCTGCCAAATTTTTAACACTTTTGTCTTTAGAATCTCCCTTGCACACGTTATAGGTAATAAGCAGCCAATTACAATTAACATCCTTTTCACAATCAGCGCATAAAAAGGACAACAACAAAAAAACAAGAACGTGCACGACTCAAGCGCTGCCTAACAACTTAAAGTTTAATTGAAGAAAACTTGTAATATATATGCAAACATGAAGGCATAAAAAAACCTTTAAACCCCTATACCAAACACGTAATCAAGTATGCTGTAGATACGCAATCTGAGCATCAGCGAGAGCGATTGGAGGTTGGCTCACAGACCTCCCTCCTGTTTTGCTATTTCACACGCTTCAGCGATTTCACGCGTGCGCTGTCTCTATGTCTCATCAACATGGCGGTTTCGTTAAATTCAGCTGCGCAGCCGCACTGCCAGCAATGAAGCGCAAAATGCGGGGACGGTGTACCTTAAGAGTATATTCTTAAACGCCTGCTGCAAGCACACTTGTTCGGTGCCCACTAAGCAATAATATTTATTTTGCAAATCTGGGAAGGGCCCACAACACTGCCGTTGGGCAATACGCGAACCTGCGCAGAGTTCGCTTCGTTGACACATCTGCTGCTAATGGTTATATAAACATGTCTGAGCACTCTGTAATGGGCGGGCCTTTAACACACTAACCCGTTGCGAAATTCGTAATCTTTGACACCTGGCGCGATTCTTTACTTCTGCCGCACAATATAACATGCTTAAGGAGATTCTGTCTACTGTGTACGTAACAGTCAGATGGTGTGTTTTTTTCTTCTTTTAGATGCGGAGCATCTAATACTGGAGGCTTGTAGTGCGGCGCCGTCCGCAAGCTTCCTCCTCCTTCTTCCACCATCTGTGCATCCCTTCCTCCTCTACACACCGCGAGCGCTTCACTCCTCCACCATCTGTGCACCCTTCCTCCTCTACACACCGCGTGCGCTTCTCCTCTTCACGAACATTCGCTAGCTGTATGATGTAGCGCGCATGCGCCGTCACGCTTCGAGAACATCGGCAGCTGACGCGCGCGCATGCGCCGTCGCGCTTCGAGAACATCGGCAGCTGACGCGCGCGCATGTGCCGTTGCGCTTCTCCCCTTTCTCGAACATTCGACAGCTGACAGTGCCTGCGCCGTCGCGCTGTATATATACTCAAGGTCGGCGCTCGCTCGCTCAGTTGCCGCTCGTCGGTTGGTTTGTACGGCGCGTCGACGTCCAAGGTCGCGGTGAAATGAATTCCAACGAATCCACAAACACAATGATCGACGTCTCTTCGACCAGCGCTGCCCTTTCGCATACGTGTGTACGTGTTCACTCATTTAACACCCCCTCCTACAACCACGTTAACCAATTTAGCCATCGACCCAAGTAAGTCGCAATTTAACACCCCATTTGACAACCACGTTAACCAATTTAGCCATCGACCCAAGTAAGTCGCACTTTAACACCCCGTTAACCAATTATATGCTCCGCATCCTCCTCAGTGTTCCCCCGAGGGAAGCTGCGGGCAATTTTTTTGTGGGGTGGCTACAACCCCCCATCCACGTGCCCCACTGGCTCGAGTATGGATACGCTCGCCTTGGACGCCCACCTACCTTTGCGTACTTGTGCGCCCCAACAGCATACACCCGGCGCAGGTCAGTGCTGGTGTCCCTGGAAAAGCGCCTGTGGCCATCGGGCACCAGGCACACGTGCCCAGGCACCGCTCCCAGTGACACGACCCACACGGCCACCCTCTGGCACCTGGCCACCAGGTCACGCCACAGTGGACTCCCCTCGTGCTCTAGCAATTCGTCGGCTGACGGGATGGTGGTGTCGTCCTTCCTCAGGCCTTGGGTTCCTGGAGGAGGGGGAGGGGGATTGTAGTTTTATGGGAAAGGAAAAGAGAGACGTTCATTGCCGCAGAAAAACTAAGAGGTCCACCCATATAATTTTTCAGACCGGCTAATCAGCGTTGCGAGCAGGAAAGGGTCGGAAAAGAACGGAGAGAAAGTATTGATGGTGAGCGTGAAGATGCCGACGAAAAAAAGCCTTGAATGGTCAAAAGATTTCTACAGTCTCTTGTCTACTTTCGTCTCGTGCATTAATTTGTTCCTCACTTTCATAATACCTTGCGCTCAGATTTGGGTGCATGTTAAAGAACCCTGCCTCCACTACAGCGTCTCTCGGAATCGTATGGTTGCTTTGGGACGTTAAACCCTACATATCAATCAATAACTTTCGGAACATTGCGCTGGTTGAGGTCCCGACAGAACTTATATAAGCCATTCTGCGCTCAGTAGAGGCTTCAATGTCTGGAATCCACGGTAATGCAGTTAGGCATCATCAGCTGGTATGTACCACAGAAATTGGGTAAATACCACAATACACAGCTTCCACTATGAAGGAATATTGCAACAGTTACACCAACAAATGGCGTCAGCGTTGCCATAGTCACAGCACTGCTACATTATAAGCTTCACAAAGAGAATTCCCTAAAGAGCTGTTATAACATATCTGAAGAACTTGCGAGACATAAAAATGCATTCACAACAGCGTTGGCTAGTAGTCATTAGTCAATTACCTGTCCGAGATTGGCCTTGTATGAAGGCTCTAATATAGTACCTCACAAAGGAAAGCCTTAGTATGCGTGATAGCCCAACTGTAAATAGTTCTATCTTGTTAACTCGGACACTACAGATGTATTTATATATCATTTATTTTATATTTTCGTCTCTCTCTTCTGATGTATTTTAGTCCCTTCCCTCATCCCTACGCAGAGCAGCATGCCAGCGGTATATCGATGCCGGCAAAAATGAGTTTTTATAATAAAGCGTCTTTTCGTGTCACTCTCGATGATCCTGATGAAGGGAAGGCCACGAGCGTCGGTGCTTCATCGGGGTCATCGAAGTGGAGCTGGTTCATTTTTGACAGGAAACCCTTTTATAACAGAGTCCACCGCAGCTCCACTGAAATATTTAGGTCACGGATATCACGCAGTAAAATGCACACGAACAGACAGCAAAGAAATAAAACACGAGAAAATATTCCTATCTGGGAATCAAACTTACGACCCCCCGCTCCCTAATGCTATAGTGAGCTAGAATAACCTATCAGCGAAAATCAGCTGCCGGCGAACACGAACAACTTGACCACAGTCTTGAATTCAACCTATAGAAAAGAGAAAAAGAATGCCCTATATCATCTATTACCCTGCTTCGCCAAACATTGGTCACCGATTACTTCGTTATTCCTAGCTGTCATGTTAGCCTTTCAAAAGCCCCCTCCTGATCACTAAAATCTAGATAAGAGCCAACAGATCAAAACAACGTAGTGGGATTATCAGGGTTAACAGTGTAAGTGCCTCAGACTGGCTAGCCGACGTTTCAATAGGAGGACCTATTTTTTTCAAAGGCGCCGTGTCATCCTTGGCGTGTTAGGTTTAAAGGGGTTTGTGATGACGACAACTCTTGGTCTGAAGCCAGTCTGAAGCGCTTCCACTGTTAACCCTGATTATCCCACTCTAGATTACTCGATTGTTGAAAGTCAGAGATTTCTCATTGTTGCGTTCTTTACTACCTGCATGGTTTGGTCCAAGTAAGTTGCCTATATTATGAAAATTTTTCGATAACTTTGTTTAAGTTATCCATAAATGCTGTGTTTTCTTGTACAATACGGGCATCACGCTTAACATGTTTAGTTGATGCCCCATGCATTACCATCGGATCGAATAGCAATAAGCATTCACGAGGGTAAACGTCCCCGCACACTAATGCACACAGGTAGACGGGTATTCAGAGTTTGACACAACGTGCTTACCTTCGCGCACACAGGACTAAGCATAAAAAAGCCCAAATACGAACAACAGACATATGCATATGGTATGCATATTGTTTTTTTTCCACCCCTGTTATAGCCCAAATAGGGCTGACAGTATAATAAAATGAATGAAAAATGAATGAAATGAAATGCACGCTTGCAAAAATTACGCGCGAAAACAATAACACGTGTAAGAGCATAAATGATCACGCACTGAACTTAGCACACAAGCAATTTCGACTTGCCGTGGTGTCATTAAGTATTGTGGTACGTGCAATGCTTTGTAAGCATGAGCTTTCGAGCTCGACTACCACCCTCTGCAGCTAAATTTTCATGGACGAAATGCAAAAAAAAGGTATCTATGTTCTCATCGTTTGATTTTTATTAATAAAAGATTAACAATGCGCAGGTACCACGTACATTGGGAATCGATGATATGCGAAGCACGAATGCAGAAGGTTGATATCTCCTTTTAAAATCAACACAACCTTACGAGGCGGAGGCAAATTGTGCCGTACAGGACTTTCACGTCATGATTATCATGTTTGGACATGTCATTTACCTTCGTCATTAATTCACGTCACGTGATACAAAATTTTGTACATGTAGAGCTAGCGAAACGGCCACGAGCGCATCGTGAGGAATAGGATGTAGTAATGTTGTTACATGACACGCACCTCATGATTATCATGTTTGCACTAGTTACACCTTCATCATCTATTCACGTGACGTAATACCAAATTTGGCATATGCGAAGCTAGCAAAACGGCCGCGAGCGCATCATGAGTGTGGCATGTAGTCCTGTTGTTACATGACACACATGTAATGATTTTAATGTTAGGGTCTGTTGCTTGTGTTCCCTATGCAGTCATGTCGTACCACACTGGTTTTGCAACATATCAAGTTAATGAAACCACCGCACCAGCCGAAGAGACTCGCTGAACTCTCTCGCCCGCCAGGCGTCACCGCTGGCGCTACCACTCTACCAACCATGATAATGATAGTGGTGATCACCGCTGGCGAAGACAACGCCACCTACCGTTCAATAGTAGTCGCCCCCAGCTGTGGCGGCTGCATTTCCGATAAAGGCGCGAATGTTGTAGGCCCGTGTACTCCGATTTAGTTGCACGTTAAAGAATCCCAGGTGGTTGAAATTTCCGCAGTCCTCCACTACGGCGTCTCTCATAATCATAAGGTGCTTTTGGGACGTTAAACCCCACAAATCAATCAATCATCACTAGTTGTCAATACCGAGATACGGCTTCCGTGCGAGACACGTGCGCCACGTAGCGCAAACAACTTTACAGAAGGTGTCAGCACCCTCACACATGCTGGGAAGCCTAGTCAAGCTTTGCTGAGCTTTTACTTTTAATGCTGTCTTCTCCGTTCAATAACAAATAATTGAGCTTGAATGAAATGAAAAACGTGAGAAGGTGAGACACGATAGAGCCGGGCCTGTTTCGGCGGAACAGTGCCTACAGTTCTCGACTGCTGATTCGAAGATCCCGGGTTTGATCCTAGCTGCGGTGGTTACATTTCGGCAGAGGCGAAATGGTAGAGGCCCGTGTACTGCGTGATGCCAGAGTACCATGAAGAACACCACCAACACTATCATCATCATCATCCGCAGCCGCCTCATTACGCTCAGTGAGAGCAAAGGCCGCTCCCATGTTCCGCCAATCAACGTGGTCTTGTGCTTTCCGCTGCCACGTTATACCTGCGAACATTTGGGAGTGAAGCTCCTTATGGCGTGGGTCGGGCGTCTCCAGTAAGTAGCAGCCACTTCTCGTTTTAGTCCTTCGAATGTCCGCTAGATGGCGGTACTTGTATATCATGAATACACGATGAAAAGATGCGAGATGGCGGTACTTGAATTGTTCACTAGATGGACGGATGGATGGACAGACATAGAGACAAAAAGGCGTGCGGACAGACGGACGAACAGACAGACAGACAGACAGACAGACAGACACGTAGATGGATAGATAGATAGATAGATAGATAGATAGATAGATAGATAGATAGATAGATAGATAGATAGATAGATAGACGGACACATGGGCGGACGGACGTGGCCAGCAGATTATCCATGGTTTGCCGATAGAACCCTTCGGACCTTCGCCCCACTCATCATTCACTCAGTATATATGCTGTGATTTGTTTCCTCAAATTATTATGTATAATATTAGGAAAGCATTCAATCAATGCCAGCAAGCCCGAATAAATGCATTACCGAGTCATGCAAAGGTTGGGCCCGTAGTATCTTATGAAACCTCACCACGGTGCTTGGCAAAATATATGAGTGAATAACAGACTAATATTTTTTTCCACCTGCAATATGAGAATATCAGTAAAGGTTACACGCAAATCAGAAAACAATTCTGCGGCAGTGAAATTCAAACTGAATTCAGTAACTACTAGAGGAAAGATTTTTCGAAAATCGAGATATCCCACTAGCACCTGGCTGGAGTCATTTCGAAGACTTTCGGTGTTCCTGTTACTTTCCATTAAGCGATTATTCACATTCATGCGCCATCTCAATTTGCGTGCTCTCCCATAGTAGAGTACCTAGTACTCTAAATCGTTACCCACTCTTTCTAAACACACTACGGCTTCATGAAATGCGAGGTTCACGGGACAGCTTTTCACTCTCCCATAAAAGAGTACCAAGTACTCTAAACCGTTAGCAACTATTTGAAAGCACTGTAGTGGCTGCTTGTGACCACCGGCCCGAGCATAATTTTAGGGGCGGAGCTCCTTACGCCGTGTGTCGTCCTATATAGTGGCCAGTTGCATAGCATCGCATTTCAATAAAAACGGTGTGGCAGCATATACACGGAGTGAATGATGACTAGTGATGCGAACTGTCTGTTCATCTGCTTCGCCCCACTCGTCATCATTCACCTCATGGATATGATGTTAATTTTTAAATCTCATTGGCCCACCTAACATTGTGCCTCCTTATCATGCAATTGCCATCTCTGGTAATCCAGTCAGTTACTCTTAATGACCAGTGGTTGTCTTGCAAATGCACTGCATGCCCAGACCATGCATTTCTTCCTCTAGATTTCAACCATGATATCTTTAACTCTGGTTTGTTTCCTTACCCACTCTGATCTCGTCTCCTGAGGTTACACATATAATTTTACTTTCTATAACTCGCTGCATCGTCCTCAATTCAAGCTCAACCCTCTTTGTAAGCCTCCCCGTTTTCGCTCCTTAGGTAAGTACCGGCAAGATGCGGCTGATATACCTTCTTCTTGAGTGTTAGTGGAACATTACGATTCATGGTTTGAGAATGCTTGCTGAATGTGATTCACCCCATCCTTATTATTCTAGTTATTTCGCCCTCATGGTTGGTATCCGTAGTTACTACCTATCCTAAGTAGAGTAGACATTCCTTTACAACTTCCAGCGTCTCTCCACCTATCGCGAAGCGCTCTTTTCTGCCGAAACTGTTGCATAGTACTTTACTTATATGCATGATAATCTTCAGACCTATTCGTCTGCTGTTTTCAGTTCAGCAACCATTAGCTGTAATTTGTCCCCAGAGTTACTAATCAAGCCAATATCAGTGAATCACAGGTTACTAAGATACTCCTCATTAATTCTTAAGCCTAACTCTTCCCAGTCTAGGGCCATGAAAACTCCCTTTCATCTCGCGGTGAATAGTGTTGGAAAGGTCGTGTCTATCTCCTTTACATTAGTCTTTATCGGGACTCTGTCGCTTTCTTTATGGAGAACTATGGTGGCTGTGCATCCTCTGTATATTTGTTTCAGTATGTTTATGTAGGGTTGTTCAAAGTCATAATTTCATAGCGCCTGCATAACTGCTAATGTCTCGACTGAGTAAATGCCTTCTCGTAATCTATGAAGGCAATATAGCGGTTGGTTGCATTCCGCGCATTTTTCTCTCGCCTCATTGATAGCATGAATATGGTTTGTTGTGGAGTAGACTGTACGAAATCCTGCTTTGTTCTTTGGTTGATTGAATGAGTTGATGGAATGGATGTCGCCCTAATTCTATTAGCGATTATTTTTGTACATATTTCCGTAGAGAAAGGACAGTAAGTTGATCGGCCTGTAATTTTTGCAGTCCTTGACGTCTCCATTCTTATGAATTAAGGTGATGTTGGCGTTCTTTCAAAATTCTGGTACCCTTCCCGTAAAGAGGCACCTCGTACACAAGGTGACCAGTTTTTCTAACACAATTTCTCCGCCATCTTTCAGCAGGTCCGTTGTTACCTCAACCACACAAGCGGCTTTTCCTAGCTCTTTGCATTCCTTCTATAGGGTTTTCATTACTTCCCCAGACGTTACAGGTAGGATGTCGAATTTCTCTGGGCTATATATTATTGCTTTTTGCGATATCATTCTGGTTTTTTCGGCTTCTGTACAGCTTTCTCTAGAAAACCTGCGCCACCTCAACTGTCCCATCCACATTGTTTATGACATTGCCGTCCTTGTCTTTAATGCATACGTCAGGTTTTGTCTACGCACAGGTTTGCCTTCACAGCTTTTATGCTTCTGTCGCGCTTCACAGCCAGCTCAAGTCTGCTTATGTTATACCGTCTGATGTCGGCTATTCTACACCCATTGATTAACTTCGAAAGCTCTACCAGCTCTATTTTGTCGGTTGCATTTGAGGCCTTGATGGTTTGTCGTCTCCTAATGAAATTTTTCATCTCCTGAGATAGTTTGCCAGTATCCCGTATATTGACTCTACCTACGACTTCAAATGCACACTTTTTTATGATACTAGCAAAATCATCCTTCATTGTGTACACGCTAAGGCCGGTTAGCTCGTTTAGTGCCTGGAATATACTTCAAAATGAAACTCTGAATTCGTGTACTTTGACTCGCATCGCTAACTCCTTAATTGATTTCCTGCGTATCCGTTTACGTCATTGCTTTCTTAAACCTAGGTCAATTTGTGCTCTTACCATTTTATGGTCACTGCATCGAATCTTGGTAACTACTTATATATCCAGTACAAAGCCTGGGTGTACAGACAGAATGAATCTGTTTCATTTTTAGTTCTGCCGTTAGGACTACGACACGTCCACTTATGGTTAGCCTGTTCGGTGCGGGCTTTTCACAGAAGCCTCGCGAACAGAACGGAAAGTGTATTAGAAATCCTCACCAGCGTCGAAGCCGCACAGATGCTGTTGTCTATTTCCACTTGTTCCTGGCAGCCCTTTTGTGTCTTTTGGCTGTGACAGATCTTCTTGAAGCAAGAATGAAAGTGGTGGATATGCGGCTACCATTAGGACAACTGGTTCAACGGTGATCACTACACGCAAACCGGCGTCTGCACTGCAACATGCCCATCAAAGTGTGTCCCCATGTCACAATTTATACTGATCGGCACGTTCGAAACCACTTCCCAACTTGCACGAATCACTAGAAGTGGTTTTGATGGTCCCTCGAAGCGCTTCGCGAGCCTCGAGCCAGTCCAAAGAAAACTCTAGACTGAACAAAGTATTTAATAAAACACATGGCTGGGCCCTTCTTCACGAGTCAGCGTCTGTGGCTTCACTCAAGCTCATCGCACTCATCCCGGAGGCGAAAGTGCACTGCGACTGACTGTTTGGCTGGTTCCCTCTAAGCACGCTAGAGCGTCACTCACATTTCACCTGAACACCACGTGAGACCAAAGCCCGTATTCACAAACCAACCTCGGCCTTACCTCACGTTTTTCTCAACTTTCTGTACTCTCTACATGCGTTATAAAGGCACAAAAATAGTAACAGGGCGAAACACAAAGACAAGACTGGTTTATGAATACTGGTCCAATTTGTTTATCATGCGCAATAAAAGTTTAAAACCGATAAGGAAAACTCGAGGAAAGGTTGAGCTTGGATTGTGAATACGGGCACAAGTCCCTTGATCTCACGTGGTGTTCACAGACAGTAGAGCACAACGTTTGCGGCCGAGCAGAAGCTAGCGCGAACGCTGAGAGCCTTCGCGCTGCGGCTATATTCAAAGTTGCTCGCGGTAGCTTCTGGAACTGGAGGGGGGAAGGGTATTTCAATGACGGCAGAGGCGCCTGGTGGCAGGACGAAGCGTTTACCCCCTCATCCTACAGTGGTCTCTGTAAAGAATCATGACGCAGGAGTAGGGTGTTCTTTAGCTTTCTAACGACACTATATGCCTGTTGCCACTTGCGAAGCAGGTTTCAAACGTGCAGAACAGTAGAAATCGTGACATGGGGCGCGCTTTGATGAGAATGTGGCAGCGCAGACGCACGTCTGCGTGCAGTGATCGCCGTGGACAGCGTCTATGGCTACACTCCAGCTCGTCGTACTAATCCACGAAGCGGGGGCACACCGTGGACGTCTGTCTTTCTGGTTTCAGCTAAGCGTGGTGGTACGTAACTCGCATCGCCAGCTTGAATTGGTACATACCCGATGGCTACCTCGGCATGTCGTCTGGCAAACGGCTCCCAGAACAACACGACGAAAGTCCAAGGGACACGTACAGCTCCGAAAACACCAGATGGTCAAAGATTCCGGAGCCCTTCACTACCGCATCTCTCTTTATCATGTCGTGGTTTAAGAACATGAAAACCCAGATATTATAAGTAGAGCCAGCTGTCCCATCAATATGATATTGTAATAGTATTGAAGAAACACTCAAGAAACAAGATAATCTCGAAAACAAGCAGACTTAGAAACAAGTAATCAGAAGCAGAACGTACAGTACTCACGGGATCAAAGCAGGAATAAAACTTTCTTGCAACACGACCTATGTGCGCTCTTGCTCGAGACAACCTCGCCATGTCCCACCAAATCCGGTCTAATGTTGGGTCTAATTTACACGTCCTGGTCGAGTATACGTGAATATGATTCGAAGTGCAGACGATGAAAACGAACGTATGTGCAGAAATTGTCCTATTTCAATCCGTGACTACTGTACGTAAACGATTTCTGGTGTATAAATGAACAGCTGCCCTTATTTTAAATAAGAGGCAGAGTCTGTGGACAGTGCCCGAGTACTCGCATAGAACACTGCGGAGAGTGTCGGTGCCGGTATCTTTTTTAGTCATTTGCATATAACACGACCATGACACATCATCGTTAACATCCCCATATTCTGAAATGAAGAAGTAAGTAAGACGATTATAAACATTTAATTGATTGTGTATTCATGTGCCTATATTTGGGTGGTCGTTGAATAAACTGAGAGTGGCAGTAGTCAAAATGGCCCAGTAGAGGGCAGCCTCTACTAGGCATGTCAATCATAGCGTGACGTTAACGCTGAACACGTCATACGAATTGTACCCGCATATAAACACTCAAGGACAAACTCAAACACACACACGCACACGCACGCACGCACACAAAGCGTACAAGATATAATACAACATATATACTCAGATTTTTCTCGGAATCAGCGCAGTGCTTTCATGAGCAGATTTTCCGTATACCAGGGAAATCGGTGTATAAGCTTCTCATCATTGCTTTCACAAGGATGAGGTGTCTTAACAATGTGAAGAAACAAACAACGAAGAAAAAACGAAAAATTACCACCACCCCTCCCCCTGCCCCTTAAAAAAAAGAAAATCACGCAAGATTTACGAAGTGCATTGTTCTTCGCGAATGAAAAGCTGCAATCAGAAAGTCCGCATACACAAAAAGTGCCACTCTTAACAGCGCGTGTCACGTGTAGTGCTTCACTATATTCGTAAATAATTATGAATTCCGTTCGCTTACCTGTTGGTGCTGGAACGTTCATTGCGCCGACTGTCCGCGTAGCTTGCCAGCCCAACTGTACCGCGCGGTTATTACCCATCGGCCCATTTCCCCCTCCACTCCTCCCCTCACTAGGGCACTCGATCCTGTGATGTTATGGCGGTGGCGTTTTTCTTTCCGCCGCCATCCGAAATACAACACTCTTATCGCGGTGGCGGTAGGTCGGTGTGCCCAACTTCGTCCGCACGTTCAGTATGCTGCTCGGATGGCCGACCTCGTCAGATTGAACAGCCGATTACTCCCTGACCCGCTGCTTCCGTGTATAATCGAAGCCGCCTAATAAATAGTTTGTTAACGCGGTGTTGTCGTTAACGCTAGACCAGCAGCTATAAAAAGATATAATTTAACAATCACATTAACGCTATAACTTAAGTATAGAGCGACACAATAAATCAGTTTAGACGGATGAATCGTTTTTAACACTGGAACTATTTACAGCGACCGTTAGTCTGTGCGGTGTTAGAAGAAAACCATTATTGCCATGAACCCGCGTGCGCTTTGTATGTCCCCCTTTTCCATCTTATAATTATATCCCAGAACATGTACGCCGATTTCAACCGGCATGTGTTGCAATAACTGATGGGCGAGAACACGAGTACGCAAGGAGAGAAAAAAAGTTGAGAGAGAAAAGAATAAATAGCACGAAAGAGATAAATATAACATCGTGGCAAAAGAAAAAATTCTTGGCGAGGCGGGATATGAACACGCGTACCCCGTTGTCTTTGATGAGCGTCATAACCACTTTCCTTTAAAATTACGAGCCAGTAGAGCGTCGTATAGCCTAGTATGGTATAGTGCAGATAAAAGGTGCAATAGACAAATGATGATTGATTGATATGTGGAGTTTAACGTCCCAAAACCGCTATATGATTATGAGAGACGCCGTAGTGGAGGGCTCCGGAAATTTAGACCACCTGGGGTTCTTTAACGTGCACCCAAATCTGAGCACACGGGCCTACAACATTTCCGCCTCCATCGGAAATGCAGCCGCCACAGCCGGGATTCGAACCCGCGCCCTGCGGGTCAGCAGCCGAGTACCTTAGCCACTAGACCACCACGGCGGGGCAATAGACTAATGAAAGGGAGGAGAGATGTAAGGATGAGGGGGAGGGGAGAAAGTAACGAAAGGTATTTAAAGAGGGACATTGAAAAGTAGAAGAGGAAGAAAAATAGAGAGAGTGAAGAAAAGAAAAAAAGAAAAATAACAGTAGAAGGAAAAAAAATGGAAAAAAAAGAAAGCAAAAATACCGAGAATGAGAGAGCCAGAAAGAAGGGTAAGAAGGGGAAAGAAAGAGAAAAAAATAAACTCGTATAACGAAAAAGAAATGGATATAAACAGAGAAGAAAAAGAAAGAAAAAGCTGACGAGAGAAAAACAAATTACAGCATATCTACAAAGTGAATGATGATGTGCGGGGCGAAGCTTCGTGGAGTTTTATCGGCAAACCCTGAGTACTCCTCCGTCCGTCCGTTGTCTGTCTGTCTGTCCTTCCACACCTGCTGAGTGAGGCATAGAACTAGGCGGTTACGCACCAAGAGAGACATATGCGTACAGACCCACGGCTAAGGGAGCTTTGCCCCTAAAATAAAGGAAGAGAAAACCGAAGAGACGCAAATAAGGCCAATCACCCGGAGTGGGTGCAAGCCATTCATATGGGCCGCCATCATCATCATCAAGGCTCCCCAGCTCTGCACTTATTTCAGGCCTGTTGCACTATATAGCGATAGCGGGCCTTGGAAATGCAGCGCTATATTTTCGGTTTCAAGGGAACATGTACGCACGTAACGGTTGCTGGGCGTCCGGAGATCTGGTTGAACAGAGCGAGTTTGATGAGGATGTTCGCATTTGTTGGTTCTCACAAGCTCTTATGAGTAAAGAAATTTGATACCACTGTGAAGAACTTTTCTTTCGTTTATATGACTTTTTTATTTCTTATTTCGTGAATTTTAAATCAACTGAAGCGCGGGAAGGGGTGGATTTAATAAGTTCGTAGCACTTCCCTCGGCTCCTCGGCACTCACACAGAGATATTACAAGTGGGATCACGCTTAGTTATCCCGCTCGGTCGGGGTGCAAAATACGAAAAAATAAAATGCAGCGTGCAAAGAACGGATGCCGCAATGAGCTATGCCGAGCAAGTCAACCATGCATGCGTTCGACGAGGATGACTATATCAGGCAACACGTGTTCTTCGCGACTCGGTGGTGTGTAAACCTGGATATTTCCAGTTCCGCGAAGGTTCTTCATATTTCGTAGTAAAAACGGGTAAACACAAGTATTTTGACCCATTTCTTGAGCAGGTATTGGTTTTGCTTAAGTACATGCGTAAACCCAATTCTCTGCGAGCCTCACTGTAAACTGACGAAAGTGCAGTTTCGCTAGAATAATTTGTCAAGATGGCACCAAAGCTGCTGACGGCAAAATGCGTTTAATGAAAGGCTCAAATTTGTGTTCAATCAGCCTCATAGTTTTCCCTTTTGTTACTTTTGGCATGTAGCTCAAATGATGTACCAACTAAATATAGGTGGTTTCCTTTTCATGAAATTCATGTAGCTGCGGCTTGAGTATTTACTTCTAATACTGTCACTCAAACGCATGTGATGGACTAAATGCTTTCAAACATCTTTAGAGGGACTGCCGCTATAGTCAACGTTTGGACTAGTAAACTTTTCTTTGTCTTGGCAGCGCGTTGCACTGACGAGGACAAGTGAACTTGTCGAAACAATGTTTCGACAAGTGATCTTGTCGAAACAATGTTTCCAGTGACGTTCTCTCTTATAAAAGTTCTGATCACCTCAAGCCTCTCTCTGCCTCTGAACTTCAGTCTCACTTGGTACTAAAGTTCTGTTAGAAAACTGTGCGCGCCATCATAGCAAACGTGATTGGGTCATATAGGACGTGTCCTACTGAGGATTGTTGATAGTTTTTGCATTACTTTGGAAATTCTGGGTTCAATGTTCGCTCATTTTGTCCATATGTCACTTGTAAATTGAAGCTGCTTTTATAGACTGACACTTTCATACTACGTGTATGTCTCTGTTTTTCTTTAATACTAGACGTGCAATAAAAAAATTCATTTTATTTGTGCCGATCAAGTTTTATCTTACTGAGAAATTAATCAGCCTATCTTTCGCCACTTCAGAACACAGGAACAAAAAAAACAGGTAACAATTTTTTATGAATGGCCGCTTCAAACAAGCGACCAGCGGTCCTGAAAAAAAAAAGGCACGAGCGCATTCCGCTTGCATGCGAAATGGGAAAGGAGGGCTTTCGCGGCAACCCTCCTTCTCTCGGTTTTCCATCCTTTATCTCTCTTTGGGCACTTCACGACGTCACGAAAGGAATGTTCGTGAGTTATTCCTAGTTGGATGCCCGGCAGCCGCCAGTGGTAAAAGCGGCGCTGCCCCTGCGTATCAGCATACGAGGGCGCGTACATGGCAGGTGCTGGGAATTTCCGCACCCTGGCAATAGTTCGAAAATTCTGTAACTTTTCAGTACTATGTTGCAACTAATCATCGTTGTGGTGGTGTGGTTATGATGCCCTACTGCTAACCCGAAGGTCGTGGGTTCGAATACCATCTGCAGCGGCCTCGTATTCATGGAGGTGGAATTATAAAGGCTTGTTGCCCGTTTAAGGTTCCCAGGCAATCAAAATCTTGCAAGCTTTCCTCTGCGGCTTCGCCTTACGATCATGTTGGGGTTTTGACACGTCAGACACCAGGAATTTTCATATTGTCATTTTCCTTCAATTTTGACATGACAGGACAGTTTCCGAAAGCCCAAATTAAGGCCAAAGCTTCACGTTGAAATTGTTTGGTGAAATTTCAGCATGATAGTGTCTATTTGACGTTATGAGTTTCGAAATATTTTGCATGTTTCGGACACGTTGGTTAACTGCAATTTTTTGACGCTTGCTATGTGAAGATTTCGAGCCACGTGGCACACAATGTATACCACTTTAGCTACATAAAGTTACGCATACAGATCCTAGCAGACACCGTCAAAATCTTTCACTTCATGACCATCTCACGCCGCATCAGCATGTGCATTTTTTTTTAAACTTTCGGCGTGCGTAATGCCACTGATGAGGTCACTACGTGCTGAAACATAACCGTGGAAAGAAAACTGTATTCTAGAATCAGCGTCTGCAGTTTAGGTCGTCCTATATATGGCTATCGATATGTTTCTAGAATTCTTTCTTATGTCAATCCCCTTTGACAAAGAGACCTTGTACGAGATATGAGAAAAGCGTTCTTGCTGACACCTCGTTGAAGTTTCCTGATACCCCTCAGCTCCAGCTTTTTTTTTTCTCCTGTGCCTCGACCCTTGTGCTAGAAAAAATCGCGGCCACGGCCTGCTGGCTGAGGTAATCTTGAGACGCCTGGTCTATGAGATGTGTAGTATAAACCCGGATAAGAAGTTTCAGATTCAACTGAAGTTAGCTTTATTGTGTTTTCATTTCTTGATCTTCAATTGAATCTTATTCGCTATAATTCAGTTCGACCACCTACTCTTTCTTTACTGTCAAATAATAGTTCAGGTGACAGATACTTTCATCAAAGAAAAGAATAAATGATTCGCTTTTCTTTATATCGCAGATATTCTTTATTAGTTACCCGATTTCTGGCCAAATATTATAGGTGGGCGTCAGACAACATTTTACGGTTTGCGTCTTCGTGAATGCTACCGAGTGGGCGCGTGTAAAGTCCTTCAATATCATCATCGTCGTCACTGTCGGCGAGAGCAGTCTATGCCGGCCATGACACGTCAGACAGCCGCCGTTCTGTGGAGGACCCTGGCGATCGAGTCCATCAAGCGCCACTACGTGCTGTCCCTCCTCGAAGTGCTGATCGTCCTCATTCTCGCGTTGCTCTTTCTGTCCACCAAGTTCGTCACACAGCCGACGACCGAACAGGGCCAGCTGAGACAGGCGGCGGGCAGCACTGGTGAAGACATCGCGGGAACCGGGCAAGGCGTCAGAACT